CTGTGGCAGAGTTTCGTGATCGTGTGCAATGTGTTCTTGTATTTAATGGTGAAATACTCAATTAGAATTCAATTTTTAGGGGTAACCTAATCGCCGGAAAGTTGAGGAAGATAAGTGTCTTTCTGTTACCTGCCCCCACCCCTGTACCCCAATGGACGGGACAGCTATTCGTGACACTTGCAGTAAGCGGTTGCTTTGGAAAAGGTCTAGAAAGCCACAAGCAGCCATTCAGTGCCGATATAATTGCGTACCTTCAGTTCGCGAAAGACACGTACTTGTGCGCACCAGCACATCTGTTATGATGAAGGAATTGTGCCTTGTGGGGCGTGGTCCCTTTAGCGTGCCAGATGTACATGAGCTACAGGCGCTGTTTATCGACGGGGGGGCATTCTGCTTTTCATAGATTTGCCAACCCATCTAGGTACCCTTTTTTCGAGTTGACACGTTTTAGGATGGTGGCTAGACGATCTTGCTCCAGCTTCACAAGCGTTCACAAGTTTTACCAGAGTGAGATTTGTGTAAAGCGAACGAGGAAGCAATTATAATACCAAAATTCCCTCCCCGTCGATAAACAGCCGCCTGTTGCTACAATGTTGCGCAGTGAAAACTAGTGTATGATGCAGGCTCAGACTCGACCCAAAGTCGAATAAGCCTCGCGATTCGAATGAGGGGTGCGGAGAGAATAAAATTCGCTTGCACACGCTCTCTCATGCGGTTTCAATAAATCTCTACTAATTACCAGTTTTAATTATGAAAAAGCGGGGCGGAGGTGATGTAGCTTAACAAGTGGCGCGCTTACCACTCCGTCTGGGTTCGAATCCCAGGTCGACACCCGCCCAGGCCAACCAAGCCTTCTACCCTCCGGGGACGGTAAATTGGTACCAGATTCGTCTGGGAGGATAAAACACTGACTTGTACATCGGCTGGCCACCGCAAGTCATTGTATAGGCCACATCGCATTCAATAAGCCACTACGATTCTGAAAATGGTAAGTTGAGTATTTGCGTGCCGCCCATTTCAAAGAGAATTGGGATCAAACTGGCGAAGTTAACTTTAATCCTTTATCCTTTATTATAAAATGCCACACTCCTTGCAGGCGGAAGTGGGCATTCTGCTAAAGAATAATAATCGAAGATGGCTCTCGAACCTTTGGCTCGTGGATACCGAATGAGTGGCGCATTACAGGGTAACTGATGGATTTTGAGAGCCATCATTTTTAGCCTTTTTATTGTCGGAAATTGAGCTCTCGATTGCTTTGTTACAGAAAAAAATTCTCTTTGCGCAACTTACCGCTCGTTAGCTGCTAATGCCGGCAGGCCGGTGTTGGGGCACATAAGTTGGCGCCTGCCTCGTCCTTCACAATTGTAAAGCGCGGACAAGCGCGCAGCAATTGGATGTTCGGAAAACGTGGGCTTGTCTTGCCGAAAACCCCAGGCTCTCCCCTCCCCCCTACAACATGCCTGAGCATCAGCGGCGATTCGTTAATATGATACTATAAGCTTCCTTAACCGATATATTAGACATAATGCCAATTCGACAACAGATTTTTTCAACTCGTATTACCCGTGAGCTTCCACTCGACCTTCATAGAGCCGACACCCTGGACGGAAATGCACTGAATTTTTGAGGAAAAGCCCAATCTGTTATAGCAAACAATTCTCTATTCGAAATGATATTACCTTGTTTTAGGCAGGAAAGATATTAAAGGGGCATTATTGATCTGATCGACCGTATTCCAGCGACAAGACTTGCAGCTCATCATCCTCCGCATAGAGACGATATTCGCCAAACACCCTCATGAACGTTATCTGGAAAGGGACTAAGATTCCTTGTTTATCAGGAGTCTCAAAGATCCTCACTTGTTGCGGGAAAACGAGTACAATATTGGACTGTGAGAGGCACGTATGTATGTATGTAGTGGTCAGGGACATCGCAGTGCCTGCATCATTACTCTGAAAATACGACCCCCTATTCTATCTCAAATACACAACCCGTTCCCCAGCACCTACCATTCCCTAGATTTTTCCCAACTTCCTAACACTTTTCCCATTTTTTCGCAAAAATCCCAGTTTTTCACCAAATTTTGCTTCCGAGCGCGGCCGGGGGGGGGGAGAACGTGGTCAGATTAACTAATCATTTATTTGCTATTCGGAACTAGTAGTTTGTAATAAGTATCTTTGCGACAAGTTCCAATTTCCTCAATTACGCAGCTAAATTACGGCCCCCTCCTCTTTATAGCCTGTCCGTGAAACAAGAGACTGAACTACCAAGAAAAATTTTCTCAGGCCAAATACGACCCACCCCCACTCCCGTCGCGGTCAAATACGACCCCCTCCGTATAGTGATCATCAACATACGAAGGCGCTCCATGTCAGATGGTACTTAGCGAAGAATGAGCAGGCCACCATGTGAAGAATTGTAAATTCCTGTAAATGAAGTTGCTCACTTGCGCCCCTTTGCAGCACCACAAGAGCCGCATTGATGCAGAATCAAAAGAGAATCAGCAAAAAGGGCAAAATAGGCCCTGAAGTCCTCTCCGCTCCACTTCGCCCAAACGAGTGCCCGACGGTTGAAGTCGTAACCCTTCTGGTGAAAGAGAGATGAAGAGGGCTCCTCTGCCGATGAGAACTGGAACCATTTACCAACCTCACGGCCGTTTTCTTCATCTTTGTAAAAGGTTTGTTTAATGGTGGCGCCTTTGTAGAATCTGTATCGCCATCATTAGCAGCCAAAATAGATTGCGATGCACAATGGAGAGGTATTGTACCTGCCAGATATAGGCGTGAAGTACCTCACGGGCAAACTTGGAACGATCTATGTATTGACGCAAGGGGAGTCTGCACGGGAATACGCCAGCCAGGCGACCTGGACACACTGATTTAACTGGCCCTCGGAATAAGCACTGTATGCACTATATGATGGATTTCAGGCCCTTCAACTGAGTCATCTCATTCATTTTCTCTTTCCTTGCATAGATAAAATAAAAAGTGATTCTTTGCCGGTTTATCAGATCCCTTGGCTGTGAGGATTGCGGCCACGCATTTCTATTGCATTCAGGAATTCGTAACGTAGCTTAATATGGCGATTTCGGTCTATTTACAATGACTTAGCGAGGGCCAGAAGATGTAAAGTCTAATGTTCTAGGCATATCTTCCACGAGAACGAATTTTACCCATCCCCCGTTAGGCAGAGAAGCTTGTTTGGCTCGTGAGCGTAGTCGACCGAGTATTTTGAAACAAGGAGCCGCGAGTGTCGAGTGGCCATTTGTACTCCGCCTCTACTGACAGGGTAACGAGAGATACCGTTTGGTGAGAGTCATGAGAAGGTTGTTTGCGAAACATCATTTTCAATTTTTCCAAATCGCCATAAGGTGCCTTTTAGGGAGAAGAAGAGGAGAAAGCACGTGGCGCAGTCTCAACTCATTTTAGTGGCATGTGCGCGGCATTCGCACCATTATCTCATCGACTGGACGGAGCACTTCTGCAACATACCAGCTCAGCTAGTCAGGAAGTACTGGAACTTATTCTTGCGTACAGAAGTACGAAGCCCTTTTTTCTACCAAAATTTATTGGCAACTTCCCTTTTTCAGGTCACTGAGTTACAGAAACAAGAAAGATCAACTATTGCAAAAGCCCAAAAGCGAAGCATCAACAGCAGTCATGAAAGAGAACAACTCACTTTAGGCTGCGTTTATACTTTGCGGCAGCGTAGCGTAGCGTAGCGCAGCGTAGCGTAGCGCTTCCAGCGTACGCCAGCGGCAGTGCCGAAGAGAGGATGCATATCGATCTAGCTTCACCAGCGTCACCAGCGGCACGCTAGCGCACGCTAGCGTACGCCAGCGTTTCTCCAGCGTTTCACCAGCGTTTTGCTAGCGTTTGCAGCGGCAGGGGAGTAGAGACTATGGGAGAGCTGGAGGGTACAAAACACATCGATTGCGCGTCTCTCACTCGCCCTTAGTCTCTACAATGCACATCGCTTCTGCGTCTCCGACGGCCACATAGTCTCTACAATGCACATCGCTTCTGCGTCTCCGACGGCCACATGGTCTCTACAATACACGTCGATTCCGCGTCTCTCACGGCCACATAGTCTCTACTCCCCTGCCGCTGCAAGCGCTAGCAAAACGCTGGTGAAACGCTGGAGAAACGCTGGCGTACGCTAGCGTAGCGTACGCCAGCGTGCCGCTGGTGACGCTGGTGAAGCTAGATCGATATGCATCCTCTCTTCGGCACTGCCGCTGGCGTACGCTGGAAGCGCTACGCTACGCTGCGCTACGCTACGCTACGCTGCCGCAAAGTATAAACGCAGCCTTATGCTTGTCAGAGCACAACATCATTTGGGTTTTGCCAAGTCCCCCTTAGAGGGTGATCTTTTACGACCCCTTTTCCATCCCACCTACTAGTTCCCTAGATTTTCCCACCTTCCTGCCACTTTTTTTCCACTTTTTGCAGTTTCTTCGGAATTTTCTGAAGGTTCCCCAAAATTTTTCTGTCAAGCAAGGGGGACCCCACCCCTCTCCCAACAATGAACAAATACGACCCACCCCTCCTATAGCGTCCGTGAAGCAAGAAGTCAAATACTGAAAAAAACCAAATGCGACCCCTCCCCTGGCGACCAAATACGACCTCCTCCCTGCTGGGGATTCCCCAACGATGACGTAACCTGCTGCTTGTTGTCAGTGACCTGAAGAAGGACCAAGGCATGAAATGTTATCAATGAAATTAAAAACAAAAAAAGAGGCTTTTATCCTCTGTATACAAGAAGAAGTTTCAATACAATGAAGCGCAGGGAACATCTATACCTCCTATCCAGCAAGTAGTCTGCTATTAGTTTGTGCGTTTCGCTGGTAAGTAGAACTAGCGACCCTTATTCTCGTATTCGTATTTTTGATTACAAGGATGACGAATACCAACAATATTGTATTTTCGTCTAAGTTGTTCCATTAAATCTTCCTGAAGAGTTTCTAAAAATCACCATCTATGGATTCGTTCCTCACTATATTACTTTATTTTCCCTCCAGTATGCTGACTCACAAAACCATTGACAGTCTGAAATCAAGCAGAATAGATGGGCTCAATCTGTGTAAAAAAAATTAGAGAAACCACCTTAGCAACTTCATCCACCTTACTGAAGTCCAGCGCTTGAACTTTGGCATCGTACTTTTTCTTTACTTTTTGCTCATAGTCTTTCTTCACAGCATATGGCTTGCTGTAATTCATCACAACAGTATTTTTCCGGAAAAAGCTCTCAAAATTGCACCCACTCCAAGAAGAGCCCATTGGCGATTTGAGTCTTCACCCCTTCTGACGCATTTTGAAGCTGCCCGTAAAGCTGTGCATAATGGTCCTCAAATTCGCTATCGGATGCACCTTGAAGAAGATTTAACGCACAAAGCCCTTACAAATCTCGCAAAGCCTTATTGTACCTGCAGAAATGATGGAACTGATCTGTGATTTCGTATTGCCCTTGGCACCAGCTTGGACCATTGCTAGGGCGAAGATCACCGATATTGGTGATACGACTAGAGACTCGTTGAGAGGCGCGTAACGGACCAAATTCAGGCCAAAGTCCGTTCCGGCTGTCGAAAACATTCTGAAGACAAAATTTTTACTTTTGCACCTTAGATTACTTCGATTAGAAAAATAAAGTAATGAGCAATGCCTTGGGCCCTCAAGTCTACGTTAGAAATGTGGCGCTGTTTTCCCTTTTCTTGCAAATACGGGGAGCATTTTGGAAAATGCGCCCCGCCCTCAGAATTGACTCTTTTGGTTCGTGCCTCCCCCTTCTCCCCATCCTACCTTTCTCAACTCTCTCAATTCCTACCACTTCCTCCGAGAAATCTCCAGTTTTCTCCCCACAAAACTGTCGATCGGGGCTGTATAGCGCACTTGTAAAGGAAAAGCCAGGAAATGTCAACGACTTAAAACATTTTTCCCAAAAGGCGACTATGTCCCCTCTCTGGGATATCCAACTTATGACGTGATCTGGACACAACTGTGAAAAGACAAAAGAAAAACAGAGAAACATTGAAAAAGCTCACAGGTGTGCCCCCCCTCCCTCAGTAGAGCCCTATTTGGTTGAGCATCAAGTAATGAAAAGCAAAGGAAAAACAGAAACCATGGGAATATTGGTGGAATGAAGGGAAAGCAGGACAAACAGCAAGAGTTGATGGATGGCGATGTAGCATAGCATTTGTTAGAACAAAAAAGATGATCTCTGTTCAGTACTGCCTGCTCATCGGCCTGTCTATATTGAACACTTGGCTTGGGAATCGCACACGATACCTACGTTTCTCCTTATCCCGAAACTGACTCTTCTTGCTTAGGACTGGACGAAAAGTACAGGGATGTAGAACACGCATAAGAGAAACAGACTTTCGTTTATGCGGAAAGCCTGAAGAGTCATCAAGAATTCTGCATTCGCTCAATTTACCATTCGAAATTCATCTCAATGACCGTGACTCTGCCCATTGAGCTGAAACATGTCTGCTTGCACTGTTTTTTTTTGCAATAAAAGGTGGTGTTTCTTGAGCAATCCGAGGTTCTTACAGGTGTTTGTCCGACCAACGTTGCGGGTATTGCCATCTTCGGGACCAGCGAATCTGAACATATTTTCTATACAATGTGTCCCTATCCAATTTTGGAGGTTTCCCTGCGTTTTTCTGTCTTACTTTGTGAAGAAGTGTCTTGATTATTACATCCGTAGTCGCCGAATGAGGCCTGAACCGTTCCTGGAGAGAACATATCAGTGAATTCTTCGACATTCTTCTAGCATGCAACTTACTGGCACGTTCTCATGGAGGTATAGAAAGAAGATGTCAGACTGAATTCTGTATAAGCGCATTGTGCAACATGAAGCCAGCGGCATTCATTTTGCACCTCCTCTAAATCTCTGAACTTTATGCCAACGGAATAGAGGAGTTTGTTCTCGTGGGCTGAACTGTATTGATGGTAGAGTTTTATTCCTATTAATGAAGCTTTACTCAACCGGTTACGTGACATCTTGAACTTTTGTGCATGGTCCTGTTACGAAACCCTGTGACGCAGACGGATAGAGGGCAGCGGCTGCCAAAGCATCGAAACGTGCAAAAAACGTATGGCGAGCCAGGAAACGGGATTTTCCAAGGGGAGGGGACTCCGGGGTGGGTGAGCTATACTCGAAATCCCTGAGATCGGGTAGGCGTGGCTGCGTACTTGATTTTAAAATGGCGGCGGCCCAGGTTTTCGTGAGATATTTCATTTTGGAGCAGTCGTAATCATGTCTACATCTAACACAGAACAAGATAGCAGTTGTTTCAAATTGAAGTATCCCACGAGTAACCCGTCCTATGCCATGCTCAAAAGCCACGCCTACTCCGTCTCAGGGATAAGGAGTGTAC